GCTAAATGTACCCATTGGTATTTTATCCCGTCAGAACTCAAAAATTCTGGTGAGGTCTGAATTTGAGCTCCGGGGTGTGTGTACAGTGCAGGTAATCATTTAGCGTATGATCAGCTCTACAACTAGGCTACGTGAGGAACTCTGGCGGTATATCAATTGGCTTCCAATTGATTTGTAGACAATCAAAGCGGAAAGTTACCGTAATCGAGTTATTGTGCTGCTAGAGCTAGCAGACAACGCGAGTGTTTGGAAGAATGAGCGATGTGTATGAAGCATAGAGTGCGGAGAAAACAATCACCTCTGCAATTCCGGAGTTGAAGAAACTCTAATGACCGCAAGAATGGGTGAACTGACGAGGATTGCTTTACCGGACTCACATTTTCGGTATACAGTCACCAAGCCATGGCTGACCGATGTATCCGAATCCTCAACCCGAAATGTGTTTATCAAGTCGGTTCCCCAGCTCAGATTTCACTCATTCTCCAGTCCTCTTTCATCAACATTTCCACTATCTCTTCAGTCTTAACCTATATCTCTTTCGCCCTATTCATAGCCTCCTTAGTTGTCGTTTAGATCATAATGGCCCATCTCACCCCAGAGCATATCTTGCACCTTTACGATACCTTTGGAGAGCTCAGGGTGCTCGACGATATCATCCGCCATCGATCCAGAGATAATCCTCCTGCTCCTATTCTGGGGTATCCAAGAGTTGAGGATAATCCAAACCATTATGAGACTTTCACTGGTCAACAGCTTGACTCATTTATCGATGCTGCATGTAAATACTTCATCAAGAATGGGTTGAAGCCTGTAAGTCAACTAATTATGTCCTCAATTCTCACTGTAACCAGTCTGACTCTTAATTTAGGGCGGGAAGAAAGTCATTGGTCTATACTCTCCATCTAATGTAGACTTCGCGGTCACATTCTTCGCTCTCAGTCGTTTGGGATACACAGTTCTCTGCCTCTCCCTTCGCATAGCACCCATAGCTATCATCAACCTGCTTAAGCAAACAGAGTGCGAGGTCATAATTCGTGGTGACACCCCACAAATTGCTGCTACTTGTGATGCCGTTGCACAAGAGGCCACTTTAAGATCTGTCGTCATTCCCCAGCACGCTCAATATGGAGCACTACGCGCAGCGAGTGAGAAGCCTTTCGCAAGAGATTTCGATCCTGAGGTTGAGACTAATGAGGTCGCCATTGTCATGCACAGTTCTGGATCTACCGGGCTACCTAAGCCGGTATTTCTTACCCACAAGAATGTGTTGACCCATCCAGTGCAAGGTGCTGGAATGCATAACTTCGGTGCGCTTCCACTGTACCACATGTATGGTCTCTCAACTACACTTCAAGCTATGTACATGGCAAAGAAGGCAAACTTGCCTAGTGCCACTCTGCCAATGACCGCAGACAACCTTATGCTCGCAATCGAAGCAACTCAGCCTGAGGTCTTTCACGCTGTACCATATGCTCTAGGACTCTTAACTGAGCACCCAAGAGGTATGGCATATTTGAAGCAGGCTAAGATTGTCACTGCAGCCGGTGCTCGTACTCCTGATGAGCTTGGTGATCTCTTGGCCTCAGAGAAGGTCAATATTGGTGTCGTATTTGGAACGTGAGTATCACATTCTACTCATCTAAATTTTGATGTTATACCAACTAACTTCAATTAGTACTGAAGCAGGTCTTCTCGGTGATACTATGCGCCGTGCCGACGGCGATGACTCGTGGAATTACGTTCGAATTTACCAAAACATCAGAAGTTCTATCTACATGGATCCTCTTGGTGGCAATCAATTCGAATGTGTCTACCTTAAGAGCCATCCAGGATTGTCCGTTTCAAACTCGGATGACCCTGCGCCTGGTTCATGGCGTTCGAAGGACGTCTTCGAGCCCCATACAACCATTCCTGATACTTGGAAATATGTGACTCGTCTTGATGATCGTGTTACCTTGAGCAATGGAGAGAAAGTTCTTCCACTTCCAATAGAAGGTCGTCTCCGCCAAGAAGAGATCATCCGTGAAGCTGCCGTTTTTGGTGTAGATAGAGCTATTCCAGGTGTCTTGATCTTCAGAGCTTCTGATGAGCTCTCAGACGAAGAATATCTTGAGGCTATCTGGCCATCTATCGTTGACGCCAATTCTCGTGCCGAGGGTTTCTCTCAAATTACCAAGGAGATGGTCGGCCTAATACCTTCGGATATTGAATACCCTAGAACAGATAAGGGAAGCATCATCCGCGCACAAATTTACAAAAAGTTTGCAGATAAGATTGATGAATTGTATGAAAGTCTTGATGGGGACGCGGAAGGAACTTTGCGACTCGATCTCGCCGGTACTGAAATTTTCTTGACCGAGACATATGAAGATGTTACAGGTCATCCTCTGATATCCATCGATACCGATTTCTTCAACGCCGATATTGACAGCTTAAGGGCAATTCAAATGAGACGTATAATCCAGAAGATCCTCGATCTTAAGGGTCAACAACTTAGCAGTAACGTCGTTTACGAACATGGAACTGTCAGAGCTCTAGCACAATACTTGTTCTCTCTTAGCTCTGGTGGAGGCGAGCAAAACAAAGATAACGTTCCACTAATGGAATCGTTGATTCAGAAATACTCCACATTTGGAGAAGTTGTGGTATGTCTAGTTTCCACTACCCTTGTGATGCCAATACTCACATGAAAACAGATCTTGACTGGTGCTACTGGTTCTTTGGGTGCTCATGCCTTATACCAGATGGTAACCAGCCCCAAGTTCAGAAAGGTATACTGTCTCGTTAGAGGAGAGAATCCAATGGACAGAGTCTTAAAGTCTATCAGAGACCGTGGATTATCTCTCACTCCAGCCGCAAGATCTAAGGTTGTCGCCTTTACGTCTGATCTTGCCCTCACTGATCTAGGTCTTGGAAAAGCTATGATTGAGCAATTCAAGACTGAGGTCTCACTCATCATTCACTTAGCGTGGTCTGTCAACTTCATCATCGGCTTGCAAAGTTTTGAACCCCACCTTGCTGGATTGAAGAACCTTTTGGACCTCTCGCTCACTGTCTATCGTTCAGAGCCAGCTCGTCTTTTCTACGCTTCCTCTATCTCCACAGCTGAGAACACACCTGCACCAGCTCTTATCCCAGATGCTCCAATCGAAGATTTCAACAACGCTTTGAATATGGGTTATGCCCAATCCAAACTTGTCGGTGAATACATGGTTCTCAATGCTGCTCGTGGTGGAGCACGAGCCTATGCTCTCCGCATTGGACAGATTGTCGGAGATAGGGATAACGGTTTCTGGAACGAAGCCGAATTCGTGCCTTCCATGATCAGATCTGCACTTTCCATGAAAGCTCTCCCAATTTTCCACGAGAACTGCTCTTGGATCCCGGTTGATACTCTCGCCACTGCCATCTTAGAAATTGATGAGAAACTCAAGTCTCTTCCTCGACCATGTGCTATTGACAGCACCAACCCTCCTATTGTCTACAACATGGTCAACCCTGCAACATTCACTTGGGAGTCACTTCTCGGCGAACTTTCTACAGCTGGTCTTGACTTCAAGGCTATTCCTTTCGGAGATTGGTTACAAAAGCTTAGGGAGTCAGCTGCTAATGGCCAAGAAGAACAAAATCCAGCTGTCAAGCTTTTGGATCATTTCGAACAGCGATACCTTCAAAGTAACAATGGTCATGGCTACAGTGGCGCCGAGGCTACTGCAAGTTCAAGTGGTGCTAGCAGTCCTCGAAGCAGTGTCTCGGGTGCTACACCTCCAAGTAGCAAGGGAACTAGTATTAGCGGCTATGAAATTGTCGGAGTCACATTCGACACCAAGGCTATCTTGAGAGATAGTAAAGTCTTGCAGAGCCCACCTGATATCATTCAAGATGGGTATGTGAAGCAATTTCTGAGTCAATGGTTGAAGAAGTGGGTTAAGTGATTGGAAGCTTGTGCGTGAGGGGATGTGATTTGATGAGATCATGGTATAGAATACATGCGATTACTTTTTGTTTTTTTGAAATTTGTATGCGGGGCGCAAAATTGTTGCAGATGACGAATGTTTTCTTTTATCTGGTTTTCTCATGGGGTCTGGCGTAATTCTTCATCATTCTTGTATCTAATCATTTCTAGCTCACCATTCCCATATGAAATGGAAGAAATACTTGCACTCTGCTAAGCGTATGTGAAGAATGTGTGTCAGTAGTTGATCTAGAGGATGCACTATCATTCAGCGACAGCACGCTGAACCTTCAACGATCTTGCTTCGGGTACCTAGAATCTAGTCTCGTGCCGTAAAATTCCATCAAAAATACAATTGCCGCCTTATGGCAGAGAGTCCAAGCAAACTTGAGAGAATTTCATCACGATCATGGTGATTGATCTTGAATCACAACAAGCAGTTTGAGCTGTGAAATTATGTTCACGTCGAAGGCTAGCCTTTGTAGCTTATTTGATATCTGATTTTATTGCAATCTAAAATTATAAAGCATATAGCTTGACGCTTGACACATGCATTGATAACCAAGTTCAAGACAGACGTAAACGCGGAATTACTTCAATCCCATCTCCATAGCAACCTTCAAAACCCAAAACAGGTGTATCTATCACTACTAAACCATCTCTCCCAATTGATACATCCCATACCCTTCAATCTTCAATCCAGCCCCCTAGCTTTCCCACGATCTAGTCCTCGGGCCAGGCCGTTGAAAAAAGATTGAAAATAGACTTTTGCATGAAACAAACAGCCAAAATTAAGGACCCAACCAATTCTCAATCTCGGGTACATCGGGTCTCGTAGCACAATATGCATCTTCGGCTCGGTAGGACAAGAAATACTACATGCCAAGCTACGGCTCTTTCGTTGGCGAGAAAAAATATACGGAGTATTGTACTCGGGGTTTGGGGGGAAGAGGTGTACTCGGGTTCGTTGATCATACAGGATAATGGGGGTTAAGCGAGTTTTGCTCCGAAATCGCTGGGTATGGGGAATCTTATGATGCATGGGATTCTGGATATGCGAATATGCGGATATGGAATTGGGATAGGGATTGGGTTGTTCGATGATTGTTTTGGGGTAGGTACCCCGCATCTTTAGCTTTTACCACCATTCATCCCCACTTCCATCTAGTGTCGTGTTTGGCATTGTATTGCTTGACGTACGACTTATGGGACATTCAGATGTTTTGATATTTAGTATCAACTGAATTTCAGTCTTGGTTCAGACTACAAAGATCGATATCCAGAATCAAACTTGGGCAAAAGAGTCCACCCGTTTTTTCCATTCAATTTTTGTTCTCGGATCCTCCACTCCATATTCGTTATTATTAGCGAGACTTGATACCGGTATCAAATACTTGTACTTAAATAGTTGAATCTATTCTTCATTCTTCCGAAACCAATATTTTACTTCTTTGAGTTTTTCAATACCAAAGTGCCTTATTCCAGAACACACTCTTTTCGTTGGCCAAAATATCATCTTGAATATACATCGTATCATTGAATACCAACTCCTGGCCAGGCGAAGATGTGTTTCCTCCATGCAATGGCCAATATAGTTTATCCTCCGGCCACATCTTGTTTGGGTCTCCAGTCAAGATGAACGACACCAAATATTTCTGCATCTTAAGTGCAGTATTGAAATCTATGTCTGTGGTGGTAACAATACCGGCACCCGCTGCAGTTGTAGCTGTAGTGGTAGTGGTATTTGTTTCAACAAGAGTGAAGTTGCTGTACCAATAATAATTTTGATCCATACCGTGAGTAGCTACACCAAGCGCCACCATGGCATTCCAGGTTTGGTTATTAAGTGCTTCAGTTAGAGCGTAGTTGTGAGCCACGAATTCGAAGTCTTGGTTTATATCTGCGAAGCGAAGTCCTTCACTTGTGTAATCGGCTGAGGGGTAAAGATCCTGGATTTCATTGATGATACCATCTGTAATAGAAGGAAAGTATAGTCGGAGATGGGGAGCGATATCCGAACTAGTATTTACACCTGCAGGTAATTTGTTGTTGACTTCGTGGAGCTCGTGAGTTATCACCAGAGGACCAGTGAAGTTGAAGCGTTTTTGATAGAGCTGAGATTCGTCTGTTGACTTTAGTTAGTAATTGATGAGACAGTATCTAGAATTGAGGACGCACATGTATCAGCAATAAAACCCCCATCTACACGAGGTTGGAATTGATATGTGTAGTTGGATACCATGTTCGTAGCAGCTGTTTGAAGGGTTGTGAAGTTGACAGAACGCATACATTCCAAGCCACCACCCGAGCACCCAACAGAGCTGGATACATTTTGGTAGAAGGCCTAAATATTTTATGAATAATCAATTCAAAAATAGTACGGAGTTACAGAGAATCTCACCTCAGAGTTCTGATAACCAGCTCCAGGTACGTAGCCTGGTGACATAAGGTATGCACGAGCAAAAGCCTGTTCAGCACGACCAGCAAATTTCTGAACACGAAATGTCAGTCATCCCTTCATACTTTGGATTGGATAAAATTAGTTTCATACTGTAATTTGAAAGAGATCCTGTGAAGCACCGGCTGAAAAACCAACGGCCACTACTTCTTCAGGGTTACCACCCCAGTGACTGATATATTTTTTGACCCATTCGAAAGCATGCGCAGAATCCCAGACTAAAGCATTCGAGGTTCCGCCTTCGTGGTTAAGGGTCGGGCCAGTAGCTAGACCTGACATTCCAAGCCTGTAGTTATAAGCAACGAAGATGAAATCCTTGCTCAAGGCGAAGAGGGCTTCAGGAGTGACCGCTGTCTTGCTTCCAAAGATGAATCTGCCTCCATGGGACCATACAACAACAGGCAGACTCTTGTTGGCACTGTTAGCAGGTGCCCAGACATCAAGGTATAGACAGTCCTCGTAAGTTGCGCAGTCAACATTTTCTGGAGCCAGAGTACCGTCGTTCACGATGGTCTCGACTGGGGGCCATTGTGGTTTTGCAAAACGAAGATCTCCAGTAGGAACAGCAGCATAACGAATGTTTTGGTACTTGTAATATCCAATCGATTCACTACCCGCGGTGGCAACAATGATCGAATAATCCAAAGTAACAGATGGCATAGAAGTGACCGTGGTCTTGGCTGCATTTGCGACGGCAGCTGCTGAAGCAGCTATCGGCAAAACATATATCGAACACCAGCGCATGACGAAAAAGAATGTACCGGTCGTTGAAAATGAAACTTGAGGTGAGACGAACGATACACAACAGAAAGAGAAGCTTAAGATGTTGATAAATGTCTTGGGTACATCCCAACCTTGAACGGAGAATATGATATCCGCCAGATACCCAGAAGTGGACGACACCCCCACAAGTGGACGCGTTTGAGTGCCGAGAAATGTCACTAGACATTTTTTGCGGGGTGAAGTGGACTGGTTCCTTGAATCAATGCTGATGAATCATGATTCATGAAAATCTGCCACAGACACGGGCATCTCCATGGTGTAATTCTTGCACCGGTCTCTAAGAGGTTTGTGTTGAATCTGAATCGAGGACTAAGATGCTGTCAGCGGTGTATAAAGCACAGCTGAGTGGAAACTAGGTTCACGAGCCCGAGATTTACCCTCGAGCTAACTTGAAAGCCTAGGTTTCTCGCAAGTCTTGAGGCTTCATAACCCTATCTAGTTGCTTCCTTAGGGGTACGTAAGTACCCGAAGTGCCCTAGAAAATTCTGATTGATGTGCATTCGCGTCCACCCGTCCACAACGGCTTCCAAATGCGAACAAAAGCTTAGCTCTAGAGCATCCTAAAGAGCTACAATCGAGCTTTTGAAGCCGACCGATCCAGTATAGCCAGTTGAGAGGGTAGCGCCTTTAGGTTAATAAGAGACTCAACAGGATTGTTTTGCAAACGCGTGTACGAAGAATTTCTGTAGGAACAGGATTCCAAGTCCGAGACAAGTCTAACTAAGCTATGTCACCAGTTCAAAGGGAAAAATCTGCACTTACATCAAATTCACTCGAAAAAGGTTCAAAGATGGTCTGGGTACCCCACCAGCCACTCGTGGCGCGTTGCGCGTCCGGAAGCCGAAGTAAAGCCGTGTACTGAAACTCGTGCACTACTACTGTCAGCTCTAAGTTGAGATATCTTCATTGATTTCATCATTTATATCCTCTTAATATTCTATAACACATATCTAATGATATCAATAAAAAAAATTCAATCAGCTAGTTCCGTCTTCCACAACGTGGGATCGTACAGTACAGTACAACTTTTCCGGTCTCTCTCTATACCAAATTAACTACATTCCTAGGGAGTTACCAGTGCCCTCATTTTGAAGAGCCTCAAACTCGCTTGATGTTACGCAGTCCTTGAATGTATGGAGTTTCCTATACAAGTCCTGATTTCTCCTTTTGGAAATATTACCATCTCGAGGCAAGCCTTGTGATTACTCCGTTGCCTCCTTTGGGAAATTTCCACATCCAGCGAATGTTCTTTGCTGTCTATTATTTTGAGTCAAAAAGATGCAATCCGTGGCATCAATATCGATAGATACATGCACAATTATCCATGTATTGTCATCCCTTGCTCCTCATCATGAGCTTGTGTAGCATACAGATTTCTGCACCTTCATACACTCCCAGCCGTAATCTCGCAAGAGATTGAACCCCTTGACGATATATCAATCGCTTCATCCTCGTTATATCTGGCGTGATTATCGTTATCGAAGTCACAGCGAACACAGAGCCTGTGAAATCTCTACTTTGTGGCTTGGAGAAGTCGCCACTGTCATCACCATATCAACCTTCAGATCGAGGTAGGTGCACAATCTTTACCAATGACTGCAAAGTAATGAAGGGTTTGATAAAGGTTAAGAACACGCATTCTATGACAAATTCCAAATACTACAAGATCAGTAGATAAATGGCATCTATACTAGATCCACTACGTGTCCCTACATATTTTCAACAGAATCCCTTTAGTCTTGCCATAGAAGGTTCCATCAGCGTGGCAGGGGACTTGGACAAGGTCCAACAATCACTTTTGATATTTTCGAGGCTAGCTTCAATGATATAAGCGTAATCTTTACGCGGCGGTCAATCCTGCAGATGAACTTTAATGCATGCGTATCTTGAAGAATTTCAAAGGACAACAATTCCCTCCGTATATCCCCGAGCCTTCATACTCCTTTCGGAAGAAGCCAGAACGCCAAGAATAAGCATGTCAGTTATACCTCAGATCTTGTTTTCAAAGGCTCCACCGGGTAAATGACTTTTATCTTCATCGGCAACGCCGACGATGAGTCTCACTTCTGACCCTCGTAGCGATTTTATCACTCCCGAACCACTTCGAAATCCCTACTATCTATGAAAGGATTCGTGCCGTATCTTGGTTATCTACTGGCTATACCAGTTCTTTAACTTTCAATTTATCCGCGGCCTTGTGCCGTTGTCTCATGCGTTATCATGATCATCGAAGAAAGTATGGACACATTGACTGGTGGAACCTTCCTCGGACTTGATTGTAGAGAGATAAAGATCCTTCCGAAGCGATATATATGTTACACCTTCCGTTATGTTCACCCGTCGTCAACGCATTCTTGGCAGTAGTATCTTCGGTGGCAATATATCCCCGGTCAAGAACACATCGATCCTTGCTCAAGGGTGAGCCTAGTGAAAGTTAATCCGCAATTATTTTAGGTATTTTCAGTGTAATCATTGATCTTGGTTGTCAATCGCGAGATTGCTCTCTGAGTTGCCGTGCTGTAAGCGAATTTCCCCTTTATTGAAACGCGATCAAAAATGTATGATAGTCGATGCTCTGTCGTCGCGAGAAGTGGAGGGTCTAGAGAATTTGCAGGGGTCTAAAGTTCCTTACGTACTTCTCAGTATAATGAAAAGCGTTCGCGCTCCTCCAGTAATCTGGGAGTTGACCCTTATCAATCTCTTTAATTGAGTTTTTTTCGAGACGGTATTGCTTCGAGCTTCCAGTGTTGTTTAGAATCTTCGGCTAAATAATCGACTTTTGTTTGCCTTCTGAGGGATTAACGGACAATCTTGAATGATAAATTCTGTTGTTTTGTGCTACAGCTTATATTTAGCATTTCCATTCAAGATACAGTTGTTTGCAAATTGAATTAAATGTGATTGTAAATGATTACATTGCTATAATATATGAGTCAAATAAATTCAACTCTGTAGCGTCATGATTAATCTAGGATTGAGGAATTATGTACGGATAGAACATTATAAGTAGCTTGCCCTCATGCTCCATCTATTCATTTCCGTTCAATCAATTGACATATTGATATTTCTGTCAAACTGAAAAATAACTTTACATCATGTACGCACTCTCTATGAATATGATACCCGTAAGGCGGTTATCACACTATCTCCTTGGTGCAATAATTTTTGGTTCTCTGTTAATATCTTCCGTTTGTGGAAACGAGCTCAATGCATCTAATACATCCTCGTGCACTTGTCCTTGCATCACTATTATTGTGGCTAATCATACTAGATCCATCTTCAAGACCATCATTACGACAGCTGAGACCACTGGCTCCTCTTCGAAATCATGTTTCCAGACAAACAATAGTAGTGTACCAACAGGATTCAATCAAACAAACCTTCCTGTCATTCCACGTCAAGATTAACATCAATATTGACATCAAATTCTGCATCGACTAGCCCTCCATCAGACACCAAATCGTCAAATTTTGTTTCCACGACATTACCGTCAACTTCATCTTCACCAAGTTCCTTAGAGACCTCTGTCTCTCCAGTTTCAGAAACGAGTAATTCAAGTTCCGTACCCACATCTCCTACCTCGACACATAAGCCAGCATGCAATCCGGGAAGCAATAAATTCATCGCCCGCGATGATATGATGAACCAAATCAATTCATTCTGTCAAGAAGCTGCTAAAAAAGGCACACAAGATAAAGATAGCGGCTCAATAATCCGTACTTACAACCAAGGTGGACGTTATGAAGTTGATTTTGCAATTGACTGGCCACCGGGAATAGATATCAAGAATAATATGGAGAACTATTGTTCTAACAACATGACAACAATTATGGATTGTGAACATTCTCTATCATCTTTACCAGTGCATGAAGGCTGCTAACACAAAAAACAGCCTGTGACTTAAATACTGTCGAGAACCCATCAAATTGGAAGACTGGCGGTATACTTCAAGTAGACCCAGTCACGTACCGGATTACTCCTCAAAGCAACCAAATTAACACAACAGGAAAATGTTGGTTTCACCTCGAAGAATTCCAGAGCTTTTCCGAACAAAGCAGCGAACACGTTATTTTCGAAGTGCAGATACGAAATATGACAGATGGTGGTGGAAACGACATTCCTGCAGAAGTGGACAGTGCAAAAAATGTTACAAAGGTCGCCGGGGATGGAGATCCTTACATCTTCAACACCATGTTACCTTTTCCTCTTATCATTACCCCGGAGTTTGATGGTAGCCCACCTAATTACATTCAATTTGTATATGGAAACCAGTCTTGGACTACAAATGTGAATTCGGGGATGCCATATTGTAGTGTTGGTGGTTGGGATAATCCTGTGAATCCATCGGGTGCAATTTCGGTGAGAGTCGTATCTCTTTATGATTTGGGATTTGGGCTAATATATTGATTTGTTTAGAATCGCAATATGGATTGTTACTTCTATTGTTAGCAAGGAGACATGTATATAACTATTCTTGAGTCTTTGTAATCTTTGAATTCATTGTTAGTTCACATGATTCACAGTGACAAATTTGAGAATCGTGAAAAACAGTGGCAAGAAGACAGAATAGTGGAATGCCCATGAATTTAACAGTGGTAATTATGTCATATCTAGGGTAATCAAAATATCAAGAACAGATTGAATATTCCAAAGGCTTAGCTTGCTGGACTGCAGTCCGGGCTATTCAATATCCTGTACCTTTAACTATACAATAGCGAAGTTCTCCAGCTCCAAGCACACAGAATTTACAAACCACAAACTACGCCTCCGCGAGTAAGACCCAGCTCCTTGCTCCTTTGCCCCGAAGCACCCACCAAAGTCACTCCACACATTCCCATCTAACTCGCGTTCTCAAACCACACGATATAGTCTACTTCTTGCAAGAACCAAACTTCTGTGGCGCATCCAACCACCCGGTCATTCTGTTCGCAATATCGGTAACATAACTTGGTGTAGCTCCCTGAGGATCATTCAGATTGCTCTTGTTGACTTCACCAGAATTATAACATCTAGCTGCCTCGTAAATGTTTCCATACTGATTGATACATTGAACAAGTCCGTCTCCTTTAGCTGTGCCTTGAGTACCATCAACGATCATTTGGCGGATGGATGCAGCTTGGGCGGAAGCGGATGCGGAGTTCCCGACAAATTTTACACCGGCGACAGATTGCATGAGTCCGCTGGGATGTTGTTAGTGATTTGAGTTTGAACGATAGCTGATTAAGAAAGAAAAGTAAATTAGAACATACGGGTTGTCAGGTTGACTTGGATCTGGATTTTGGCTAGTATCGATGTTGACACATCCACTGCTTTCTTGTAAGATCGTGGCGTAGATGAATCTTGGGTCTACCAAGCTAGCACTAGCGACCGACAAGATTGAGTTATACATGTTACCGATCTGTGCCGGACTATCACCAGAACCAAAGGCACCAGTATTGGCACATGATTCTTTGAGGTATGTAGCGGATTTGTTCCACATGGCATCAAATGACACCCATTCAGAAGATGATGGGAAAGATTGCCAGCCTCCAGAGTAGCACTTGTAAGTATCTGCGCCTTTACCAACACCGGTGCTGATGGTAGAGTCGGGTTCTTTGTTGCCGGCGCCAGAGGTGAACGCTGCTGCTAGGGTAACCTTCGCGTTTGCTGGTGAGGTGGAACTACCGCGAGCATCCAAAGGAGCGGCAAGTGCAGTCGCGGTAAGGAAATATGCCGCAACAATCAATTGATTCAAATGCATGATGGAATAAACAAGGTTGAAAGAGTGACTGGTAGGAATATAGAATCAACGTTTGCAAATGAATGTGGAAAAGATATAGGCAAAGCTGATGAGTCAAAAGGCACGTCTTGATTTGACCAATATATATACCAACAACCTCAAATTAAACTTTAAGGTTATTTCATACAAGATTGATATCAAATCATCTTGCATAATCTTAAATTAGTAGACATGGGATCTATGTAGCTGCAGGAGATCAGTTGCCGTTCCTTGCTGACATTCGTCCCTTGCCATAAAATCCATTAGATAATACCGACAAGCAGGAAGCGATGTCTCTCGGCTCAACGGGTGTGTTCAATAATAGTATACTACCTAAGTGATGGAACATTGTGCAGCACGAGACGCTATCCCATGTTGGGTAGCTGCTCGTTAGTGTTTTCAATAGTCTGAACTGTAATCCGTTGTGGGATTCTAATTTTATGTTCTGAGGATGGTCATATGGAGCACTTTCTTGAGTTGTTATAGATCCCTGGTATCAACTCTAATAAAGGGTCCATGAGGATTTACGTGGAAAGCTATGATACCCCAGAAAATATCGGCACTGATGTTGTGGGGGCCAAGAACAATGTATACACCACTCAAAATACACTCTGGACTTCTGATGGGTGCATTGAAAGCTATGAAATGGCTCTGAGAGTTGAGATTATAAAAGTTGCAACGATGAATACAGCACAATGTTTCATCTCTCTTTGATAGCCCGAGTATTCAACAGATACTGATCGAATAGCCCTCGTCCACATCCAATTCGTATGATGTATGATTGAATTTGGAAGATGTAGTTGAGCGAGCAACTGATATCGACACAGACAAGTGTCTTATTGACATAACTTCATGTCGTCTGATTTCACTTAAGTATTTTGTCTCCATTCTCATGGCACATTGTAACCTCAAGCTCTGCCGATGCTGATATAAGAATCCCTCGCTGACAAACGCCCGCTAAATTAAATGAGCTTCGAATCCTATCGGCACAATTCAGGGGCGGCGGGTGGAATCTCGAGTTCACACTCGATATAGTTGCTGAAGGATCGAGGAAATCCGGATGTCATAACCTTAATTGATGTTGTTCTAGAAAAATACTTGTATGTCGCTAGGACAGTTTTATTTTTGGGGTCTGATAGCGCTAGTGTACTCAAGCCACAGAGGCTATTGGACCCCAACTACCAACGCCACAACCTTAACCACATTCCAAGGTTCCAACGTTGTTCTTGAAACAAATCCTTCCGGTATCTGAATGACATCTTGCAGGATTTTTCAAAGAATGCTCATTTCCTATCACGAAGATCTACCAATTGAGCGCTGGGATCAGATGAATCAATCTCGGTGCACAATGAAATTGGGGAATGTCATATTACCATGCGGCTGAATCGATGGATTCTGTCACCCACACGGTATTCTCATGTTCTTTTCATGTTGGACTTTGAAGGGTGGATGAGCTTCATGGGTTAATTTATGGTGAGGTGTGTTTTGAGCCTCAAGCAATGCTCGCAATGGCCCACAACCCAGCTCATTGATTAAATCAGAATTAACTTCTGATATCGTTAATTCTGATATCGACAATTTACTATAGTTAACGATTTAGTCTGAAATAGGCTGAAAAATCGAACTTGAAGCATGAGATTTTGGGGTTGAGGCTTGAAGTTTCATTCAAATGAAGATTTGAAATCAAGGCTCTAACTCAGGAAACACAAAACTGTTTAATACTTATCCAATGTTTATCCACTTCATGAAACTCTCGAGCTAAAACCATACCCATGGTTTACCCAATCCAACTGTATTACCCGACTCACTCGTTGCGAACACTGGTCTCAAGGGGCGGCTGAGATTCTCTTCACATGAAAACCCCTTCAAGTGAAGGATCTCGGGAGTCGGGAGAGTAAAGACGATATATATTGTAATTCATTGAAAGTCTAGGTACTTCATCTATCATCTCATTCTCTTCACCATACTCATCTATTCTTTTACGATATCTTTGTCTTAAATTCGTACACCAGCAGTCTTCACATCTCCATCTTACCATGAAGTCATTCTCTACCTCTTTTCTTTCCGGTGCAGCCATTTTCTCGGCAGTATCTGCCTTAGCTACTGCACAATTGCCTGTTGAAAAACGAGGTAATAGATCACCCTTCTTTGTAACACACATGACTAATATTCATCAGCTGCAATTGATGGTCTTCCTTCCGGTGGAGTAGTTTCCAACGGCGTGGCCTTTGGATTCCTTCCATCAGATGGCTACCAAGTGGCATCCCCAGTTTATACCATGGCACAAATAAATAGCAAGCTCGGCGGAAAAGCTAGTACCTATGGATGGTATGCGCAAATAACATCTAGCACATTCACTGGATCTCAACTCCTTCAACGTCTGGATGATGTTGTTGCTTCTGGTGCTGTGTTTCAACCGGCAGTTATGCCGACTATACCATTTAGTCAAGTAACTAGTAATGTAGCTAGTCAGGTTGCAAGCGTATTGGAACAATTCACTGCGAAGGGTGTAGAGGTTTGGTTGAGATTTGGCCATGAGATGAATTACTACGTTGTTAGTATTGACTATCCCAAACTCTACTATCACCATGACTAATATCTGAATAGACGGATGGTACATATCATGGAATAGCAGCCGAGTTTATTACTGCTTGGAAGAATATTCATGCAGCTGTTTCCACCAATCCCAAGATCAAAATGTACTGGTCGCCCAATGTGGACACTTCATCGTCTCCGGTTGCACCATACTGGCCGGGCGCATCCTACGTCGACATAGTGGGCGTCGATTGCTACCCCACTTCATCACCACTCCCTTCCTCCGCCTTCTCAAGCTGCTATGGCACTTTCTACAAAACATACTCCGCTGCTTATAACATCCCATTCGTCATCGGCGAAACAGGCTACGCTGGGTCTTCTGGAAATGCTGCGTGGATTAGTCAATTGGTGAATCAAGATATGTGCGAATATCCAAACTACAATGCAGCATCATGGTTTGAGTATAACAAAGAAGCGAACTTCTTGATTGTGGAAGGCAGCTCATCGATTCTGTCTTCTGCTCAACAGTTACTTTTGCACAATACGAAGACGGGCTGCGCTATCTCCACCACGACCGGGAGCACACCGACAACCCTTGCGACTAAAACGGCCAGCACAACTACTAATACAACTACTAATAAAGCTGCTAGTCAAACCGGGGCTTGTACTTGGGGCTGTAACGGATGGGATTGCAGCGCAAGCAGTCCTTGCAACGCTGACTATACCTGCATGAGTGGTTATTGTCATTGAACAATAATCTGCGAACGACCATACACGGTAGCACCGTCAATCTACATCCAGAGTCCCGAGCGTCGATTCAAGATTCTTTGTAACAATAAATATATACATCAATAAAGCATTCGCTTCTTCAAAAACACGTCTTCTTCTCATAACCTACTCTGCATCTTTCTCTTTCTTTTCCATCTCCAACAGCTGTCTAGCCAAATCCACGAAAGTCTCCTCCTTACTCCTGAATTTCAACCCCAACACCTTCTCAGCCCTCTCGCTACTACACGCGAAAGAGCCGTCCTATAGTCCTTTATCACCGGGGACATCCTTTATTGTTCTTTCTTCCAATTCTAGAATCTTCTTACGAATAATATCACTTATATTTTGAGATGATATTTGACCTTCGCAAACAATGAAACGTTGTCCCGATGCTTCTGGGAGAGTTGCAGCGAGAACATGGGCACCTGCTAGGTCCTGGAAGTTGTTAAACATTAGGCCTTTCGGAGGGGAGGGTATACTTACACGAACATCAGTAAATACATGGAGGCCATCTAGTCACGTTAGCTTTTATTTTCACAATCACCGCAATATTGAAGAAACTTACTTGGAGGTAGCTCAGTATCCTTAGATAAATTGATCAATCCACTATAGATCCTCAAGTTTGATTCATTCAAATAATGCGTACTTCGAATTGTATGTCTCAATGATCCATAAACCATCGGAAGGGTCAAAGTAACCAAATCAAAATTTGGTTTCTCTTTCTCCACAAAATCCCATGCTACGAACACATCATTAGTACTAGTGTATCGTCTCAATGTACATGGAACAAAAATTCTTCCAAGCCAGCTCCGCAAACTTTTTACTAACCTGATACGCATTATTCGGGGTTCCTTCCAATGCACTCTCCGATGTAGCAGGATTCCAATCCTCCTCCGTAGAGACTTTTTGCAGCTGACAAACAACCTTCTCCGCGAAATTAATAATTGCAGCACACCTACTTGTCACCACAACTCTCTTTACCTCCGGTGCGTTGTTCTTCACACTCTCCAGAACACCCAATGTTCCTCTGATTGCCGGATCAAGAAATTCACGTTTATCCGTGATGACCTTGTAGAGAAAGGAAGAGGCAGTGTGAATCACGACATCGAAAGAAGGATCGGATTGCACCACCTCATCGTAAGCTCCGGGGGCGGTGATATTGGGGACGATCCCGAATTTAAAATGGGGTTTGTAGGCAAGGAAATCGGAAGAAACTCGTTCGGCTTTGGATTCGGAGCGAACTATAGCCTGGACGAAGTGGCCTTGTCTAAGGAGGTGGTCAAGGATCCATGAACCGACGAAGCCGTTTACTCCCGTAAGGAGAATGCGCTTGGACATTTGGTCAACGTGAGGATGTCAATAATATGAAATTGAAAATCAAATTTTTGCTACGAGAAATGTATGAATAGAGCTGAGGGAAAGGAGTTTTATACATAACTGTTTTTTCTGATCTTTCTCCATGGAACCACCTGAATCGCATGATATGGATCTAGTGTGGAAGATATTGTATCCGGAGGTGCTTTGAGATGCGAAGGGATTACTAAGATCCTACGTGAAATATCAAAGTATTAGGCTACAATTCGAGGAGTTTCTCCACTTGCTTTTGTCTCTTGAATTCTTCAATTTAAATCTGCCAAAGTTAGTCATGTTTGATAACTAGCATATTTAAATGAAGTGAACTCAATTCGAGTAAGATGCCAAATCTCTACTCTTTTCCTGTTGCTTTCACCTATATATGCTAAATCGATCAATTGATCAATATAACAGTATATCCTCAATTTCGCCGATTTTTATATTGATAGTAATACCGAGCTCGGCTGAAAGGGCCTGAAGATCTATAGAACTAGAAAGCTTTCAAAAGGCCTCAAGGGAGAAGTCTAAGTAAGCAGGGGATCGTGCATAGTCATGCAATCTTTTAGCATTCATATTTGAGAGAGAGAGAAAGTGGCATATGGTTCCTAGACTATAAATTTACAATCCTAAGTTGGTAGAGCTAGGGGATAAGACAAGACGCGGGGGAAGCTAGAGTTTAGCACATGTGCGGGACCGCGAGTCATTGCTGAATTTAGTATCCTTTCAATCTTTAATTTTGGTGTTTGACGGACCAAACTAAGAACTACCCTCGACGTCGCTGATATGAAATATGGTTTGGATTGTATTACAGGAATATAGGCATGACAAAGCAATTTGTATCTAGATGACAGAATTGCGATGGAAGCATTCTCGTTCATCATTTTTCTGCACCCATGTGATAATCGTCCTCGGTTACGATGTCAGATTGATGTTAGCATTTAACACGGTGTGGAATTAGAGCGATTGACGAGTTACCTCACACGCGTTCTTAGTAATAAATTGGGGACTTTATCATCACGAAACCCGCTGCGCAGTGATCAGTTCTGCTAGTTGGAATCAACAACAACCAGATCTCCTAACGCGTCTCGAGAGCGCCTTAAAGCATTTTCAAATCACCAGGCAATGAAGAAATATGAACTCAACTGGCAATTGCTACGATAGAGTCGCGTTTAGCTCATGAATAGTTCAAGCAATGCAAAATCCTCAGTTTTGCTCAGATTTTCGTATTCTGAGAGAGATTACATGCATCTGTCCTGGGTACCATCGGGCTCTATCTAGATTTTGCTACTCAAAGGATATGTCTCTCTTGCAATTTATCACATATCAAATGTCACTAATAATTTCCTTGTCACAATTTACGTTAATCTTTCCACAGGACAGATTTTCGATTCACCTATCACATACGAAGTCCCTTAAGAATCTATGCATAGGCCGTCGCCGCAGCAGTACTGACGGCCTTCCGTGTCCCAATCCAGACCCTTTTGTGTCTCCTCATAACACATTACGATACATAAAGCTGATTTCCGCGCTATGTCCTTCACTGAGATATGTGAAAATTGCATATCTTGCATGGAAGATTGGTACTGGGTCATAGGCATCATTAGTTAAATTGGACGAAAGTGATGAGTCCTTTGAAGAGTGTTGAAGATGGCGCGTTTGAGGGTATAGTATTGTTTGGTGAAGTTGAGTGCTTAAATGAAAGGTGACGGATGAAACACAACTGTTTGGTGGCACTGTCCACTTGTTCAATCTTCCCTAAGGTTGTCTCCTAGACATATAGAGTCAAATTGATCGTGAAACACAAGGCTGTGAAGGCTGTCAAGCGCCAGGAAAAAAACACAATTTTTGGGTTATTGAATTTCATTTCTTCCACATACACGTTTGGAGAAATCAACAGCTATGTCCATCGTTGAGATTTTAAATCACATATTGTGCTACCGAGGAACATAAAAACTCGTTTTGCGTAGAAACAATACTTAGCTTCTCAGGATTTGGCTTTGTAGTGAAGGATCTTGGGCGAGAATTCTAATTGTCTGGACGTGGGACTTGAAAACGAGAGCGCGAGAGAGATCAAATTGTATTAGAGTAACATAAAATCATATTACGATATTAGGAGGGGTGATTCCCACAGTCGTATCGTATATTCCGTTCCGTGATTTTCTATCTTTGATGAATATGTATAGGCGAAAGTTCGCTTGATGATTGATATTCATACGCCGAGGTTAAGAAAACATTGTAGCATCAATTCATTCCACTCTGGGTATTGAAAACAGATTTCCTCATTTTAATAACGAAGATGTCGCATATCAAATAAGATCCAGGTAACCACAGCCCCACTCTATATTGAGACAACTACTCAGCCCTTCGGTCTCTAGGGATTGAATGGAGCCCTGTTAAAGACCACCGTTGCCTCAATTTTGGCATTCAATGCATTGATCTTACCCAACGACTCGAGAGTAACTGTCTCCTGTCGTTCCGACGGATCATTATCCAATACTATTTGCCAGCCAGCCCTCAGTTGGGCTATCCTCCCATCGACATTTCTGGTCAAATAATCGAAAAAATTGTTTGATACCCTCTCCGCCTGAAATTGATAAATTCGGTCCAAAGGTCAGTTGTATGTACAGGTTGTTCTGGAGCAAGTGGGTGGTAGAGATTGTCAAACTCCGTCAAATTTGAGTGGATGTCTCGATGAATTTGACCCAAAAGACCTTGGATAGCAGGATCGTTGAGGTAGTTGAAAACAGCCATGCCCTAGAATTTCATCTAATTCAGTAGAAAAACTCATGCGATAACAGATTGAAAGAGCAAGACTTATCAGGAACACATACAGACGTATTAGGCTAGGGGCTGATACAGTATTTCGGGTTGTTGGGTTTTTGGGTTATTGGCCAGTCGTGCGAAATTCTGGTTGGCCGTAGCAATGACTCTAGAATTTCTAATTCGTGACTTCTTTCTGTTTAGTGAGGCCTGTAAATTAGTCATGACTCTGGGATTCGAAGTGGAGCCCAGAGCATTGGCATGGTTTTTCAAAAGCGGGTTGGCATTGTCGTCTCGCCCATTCAGAGCCTCCCATTCATTATACGGAGCATTCATGAAATCATTGATAACCTCGAACGGCACGGTTCCGAGCTCAATAGGGACAGTCTGAGGTCCTAATCCATCTTCAAGGTCCGACAAAGGTTCCTGAATAAAAGACATAAATTTTCGTCGTGTTTGCCGTTCAATGATATGTTCTGAATTCACTGGAACTTGCCTCAAGCCAGTTAGGGATGCATTGTTAACGGGAGAAGCATCTGCACAATCTCTAGTTGCAGGTATGTAAACGTTCCCATTTCCCCGGCGGTCTGTGAATCCCGCCCAAAATTGCCGTTAGGACACCTACCTGATGTAGATATCGTTCTTTCTTGTGAATTGGCGTAGTTCACTATTGCATAGTCTGCCGATGGACCTGTGTTGTCACCTCGTGTACTCAACACAGGTTAGACATAATCACTCTCATTTCCATCACAATCATCGAGTAGATCAGGGTCGATGCTTGTCAAGTTGTATGCACAGCTCAAAGGCTGCCTATGGTATCATTGCTGCACTTTTCAAGTAGCTCTTCAGTTGAGCTAGGAGATTCAAATGGTGGTATAGAGTCTGAACTAACACCTGTTACGAAAGTGGCGGCATATATGTCACCCTGATAAGGGGCACAGCAGAATCTCTCGTACCAAGACTCTGCAACTGCCTTTTCAACAGAATTTCCTATGGATTTTGAGGCTTGCGCGGGTGCCATACCATAATTATCGAAGGATGTCGACAGAGAAAGGTCTGCACCAAGATGAAACCAACTTTCAGCGATCACTGCAAATCCAATGAGATTTGAGTCATAGCCATAGTCTCGAGCATTTAGTCCCGAGTCGTTGGTAAGGCACACTGATACGCTCTATGGGTGGCAGCATTATCGGTATGAATGAAGTGAAGCTCGTGGTATATGCCCACACCTTATGTTCATTCGCTTTTCCATCATCCTAGACGACTCTCTTTTGACCCTGTTGAAATTCCGGCCACTGCATCTACCTTATATTATTAAGTCCTTCACCTAATATACTATCAGGTGTGAACGCGGACAAGTGGCAAGAGTGAGACCAATTCGTAGCCTCTTCCAGATCCATACTGACAAATGCACCATCCCGGCTCTTCTGTGCAATTTCCAAAATTTTACCCATCTCGATTTCATCCTTCTTCGTCAATCTCAACCCAAAGAAGTAGTACACCAACTGATCTAGTCTCACCCATGTGTAACCCTGATATCCTTTGGCATGTGTTCTTCCTGGCACTGGGAACTCGGCTCCGAATGCTAAGGCGCGCATGTTATCGTAAAAATATCTGGATTCCACGACCAAGTCAATACAGACTGGGTCAAATACAAGAAAAGTATTTGTGAGGAACCCCGATGCAACAGTCCCATGTTTTAGGTTGCCTAAGTACTCATTGGCTGGAATGACATCTTCTCTTTTCTGATATGTCTATGGATCTTCTAAAATTTCTTGAAAAGCTTTTCGGAATTGAGAACCATCATCTTGATCACTGTCGCCCTCATCGCGATCGTCGTTTTGTAAAGAAAATTGAGTATGTGTAAGCGCAGATTGCGGTGCGTTAAATGTCATATACCGCCATTTACTGCTTATAATGTCTTTTGAGCCATTGAACCGAAGTGCCTGTGAAAAGAAACCACATAAAACAGATTGGAAATATCCAAGTCGCTCTTTATCGAGCTTCTGGGCGGCCGCATCAAAAAGAAAGATAAACCCCAGTGCGGCTTTCCCTCTTGGTGAAGTTGCTTGATCCATTCCGGTGCATTTGGCAAGGCTGCTGTGGTTGCGTTGTGCAATGGGCGCTCTCGTGCAGCCCTGTCACGAGTATAAGCTTCACGACCCCTGATTTTAAATGCTTCTTTCTCCTTCGGAAGATAAGCTAGAGTTCTGACTGCCAAGAATTCATCGCGCGCTTCGTCGTTTGTATTGATAAACCCTTCGGAAAGCCTTGAGCTTTCATCATTTGTACGAGGTGTCCAAAATCTGTTTTTCAAGACCAAGACCTCTGCATCTGTGAGACTACCACGATTTATAACTGCTTTCTCTATCAACTCAGCCCGTGAAAGTCTTGTTGCTGCACTTATATTGGCACTTTCCATTTCTGGATCTGGAAGATCAAGAAACACACGACGTTCCGACTCTGTTAAGCTCTTAGGAGACGAGAGTACCTTTTCCTTCAAAGATGGATAAGCTGCAACGAGATCTTGAAGGGTGGTTTGATTGCGCAAGACTCTCATTGAACTGGCCAGTAATGGCTCAATTTTGATAATGGATGATGCCATGCTTACTCTTCTTACTGAAAGACTTTCGAATATTTGATGTTGTAAGAATATCAATGCAAGCAAGGCTTGACACAATACAATGAATTAAATCAAGAAACTATTGCCGGAAGATATCATATCTCGGCTAGCACCCCGGGTGTTAACGACGTCCAATCAACGTGGCTCTGCCGTACATTAGGTCGATCACATGAGAGTCATGTGATGACTGAAGACTCTTGCTCCGGACATGAAAAGTTCCCCCTTTTAAAGCAAATAGTCCTAATAATACATCACTCAGTAGATATCTATCATCATGGTAAGTGCTAACACAAGTATTCAGGATTGGTTTCAGGTATCAGAAAGTAGGTTGTTATGATGTAGAAAGATAATTGTTAGACTGGTTGCATATAATGAAATGCGAAACAGCCCAGAAGCTCTAGACATCATTTGAAATTCAAAGATTATTGCTGACAGGATACGCAATTAGATAACATATAAATAGATATTAGAATCACGGGTACCAATGAAGAAGCAATAACTTAGAAAACCAGAAAAAGGTTGATAGAAATGAACAATATGAATCAAATGCAAACTCGGATTCAATGACTTGCACAGCCATAAGGATTACTTCAGAACTGAAAAAGTTGGGATTATCGAGGAAATCTTGTGATCAGCGAGGAAATACAAATTCACAGTCAAAATCACGAATTCAGGGAACTTGGAACTTGGAACAACTTTGTTTTCGCGATCATGCTATATCAATGACTTAATCTGCCTATTATACAGATGGTGCCAGCCCAGGATGAGAGAAAATGAGGAAGATTTGCAGGGTACCATATGTGGACGATAAGGTAGTGGTGGATCAACCTGAAGTCTCCTCTTAATACCCGAACCTGAAGTTCCAGTCATTCCACATATCATCAGTGAATGCACGAAAGTGATTGCCATTTCTTTCTTCGTCAATAGTTCCCGGTTTGAGCCTAGAGTATTTAGTGAAGCTCACTAATATCACAAATGGACACTTACAAGATGGTTTTCTTCACAGAGAAGTTTGCCTCTTTTGTACCATATAACTCAAGCACAGGGAAATGACTAGAGGATATCCTGATTCGACAGTGTCGACTTGATAATTTCATTACATCTTTCTTGTAACGTTTCCAGTCGGATAAGGTATCTCGACTTCTCATCAATTCCAGGTCGTCATATACTTTGCCAGGTTCGGCGCGTTCGGATAAGCGAACAAAATGAAATTTTGGCTGGCTATGTACTGTCCAGTGTTGGAATTGAGATTGACCAAGTCTTATCTCATTAATGCTTCTTAAATTATGCAAGTCTCTTCGTTGCTGGTGGGCGCCATTGTATCTAGCGGGGCGGAATGTGACCTTTTCATCTACCTGCAGAAGATCCTGGACGCAAATGAAAATATCCTGCAAGCCGGGCCATCCATTTTGGGCTCCCGGAAGTTTATCGGATAGCAAACCATGGAGTGGATTGAGTCCAAAATTTATATGACGTGTGTAATTATGGCTTGTTAGGTAATAGATGTTGGGGAAATGATCAAGTGTTGTGGGGGTATTACTTTCCCTCAAGTATGAACACCTAGTATTTACTCTCGATGCGCGGTCTTCTATGCAAGAGCTCTTTCTATAGTAGAAGTCACCGATCGCAACGTGCGAAAGGAGTTTCTCTCCCCTAGCCAGGTTGTCCACAAAGAGGCACACTGTACCAAACAAGTCCTGTAACCGAAGTAGATGGTATCGATAGAAGAGTCAAAATACGTAAGTCGAGATGGTGGGTCATGCCCTTCAGGACGATTATCGAAACGCCAAAGCTGATATTTTCTCAAAATTTCATTCCGAGTATCTCGACAAATAGGATCCCGTAAGTCCAAAGGGGCCTGAGAAGATATCTTTGTTGCTCTATATCCATGATGCTTGTCAACGGGATGAGTCGAATCCCACTCGATCTCGATAATCCGGCCAAGCTGCGGACCAAGATAGATATGCCAAATTTTGCGACGTAACTCGAGAGGTAGCCTGGAAAAGCAATGAAAATTCGTTAAAGTTAGGCCGAATAACTGTCAAGAGTGTGTTTGTAGATTTGGGAGAGAGTCCATGGATACATACTCCAATGGAATTCCTAAGATCAAGCGGACCTCAGCAGATGTTGCATCAGCTACCAATTCAGGAAAAGGCAAATTGTCACTTGCCATGATGTCGCAGTAATGAGAATATGATGGATAACAAGTCAATAGTGTTGTTGTATGCAAGCTTCGTGACGAGGAAAGAAGAAGAGGACGGGTTGAGTCTTGCCAAAAGAATGGGGAACTGAAACGTATATGAAGAATCGATTCGAAAGCTGGCAAAACATGCACAGGCGGTAAGAAGAGGAGTACAAATGAGGGGTGCGAGGTATCCAAAGCCGAGACTGAACACGTTGGTATTAATTTGAATTTTGTGAAAGCCTTCGACACAGTATTTTCAATCACAGAGTTGTCTATTATCCTTGACTCCCGTTCAGTAACCTCGATAAGGAACGATTGGCTAGCTTCCATTTGTTCTTGTTCTGTTCCTTGGGAGTGCGGCCATAGATCTATTTCTCATATAACTTCTTGAATGATGTACTTACTTTGCAACTGGTGTTCCTCTGGATTCTCTTTTGGGTGAATTCAAAATTCGATTTTAGAGGCCTTTTGGTGTGCATGGTGAAGTGGAGACAGTAAGACGAGTATGAAGTAAATGAACTTAAGTCGCATGAACAAAGTGGTGAGCAGATGTTACTATAGCAAAGTCCGCGAGACGATGCAATTCATCACATGATGCCATTCAAAAATCCTGCTTGACATCCTTTTGCGTACATTCGAACATCGAATTAGGCTGAGGACTGATACAAAATCTGAGACTTCGGTAATCACAGGGCCAACAGTGACCATTTTGCCGATATGCCATGTCATACTACTACCGCACATCTATAATCATAACTGATAGGTGCTACAAACACTTCGTTGATATTAACTTTCTGATATTCAATTAGTTTATTTACTCTACAAGGGAGCTTCGGCCCCTGCACTACCCAACACATCTTCGATTACATCCTCTGGTCCTATACCATCCAACATTTCTCTAATGGCATCCAAGTCACTTCCCCACTGCATACTACGTTCTCTTTCTGGACTTACGATCTCAATGCGATGAAGATAGATCTTTCTAGCGGCAAGAGCAATAAGAGACGGGGTAGCATATGGAAGGCCGTGTAACGGCGCGAGGCATCTAACCGGTATCAGAACAAATATTTATGTACATATCAGGTCATCCTTACCTAACAAGCTTGTCAAAATACTTTGTGGCAATTGCAGATATACCCGTCGCTACAGCGCGATGAATTCTAAGGAATGAAGCAATGTTTTGTTGATATTGTTTGACCTCGACACTGACTGTAGTATCTTTACTTTGCTGGGCTAGATTTTCGATATCCTACATCTTTATTAGTAACAACAACTCAGCCACATGCCTTTGGCCACTAACCATCGGAGATATTTTCGCCCATAAACTCTCTTCTATCTGTGTTGTTGGACTCCTTTTAACGACTGATGATGTGGAGCTCGTATCGTCCGTAAACATATCTTCTAAGTTCGGGAACCCATCCTCAGGGTCATGTACATGAGAAATGAACATGTAATCATTAAGATGTTTTGTCAACCTTGGGCCCTCTCCACCTGCTATAGCAGCAACAAACAAGAAACGTTTTGGCGCATTTTGTATGGATGTCCTTGTGAACAGTCGTTTCGTTCGCATTAGCTCTAATGCTTGAATCTGTATCTGCTGCGGTGCTTCATCGAGATTCCTAGCGATGATCACATTTGCTATCCTTTTATTATCGATCGTTTCCGGTACAGGCGGTCTATTGATTGATTGAAAAGCGGGTGTCTGTAGGAAGTACGAGTCGCGACGACTTATCGCAGGAGAATTGGTTCGAGTAGGAGCCGCATCAATGGAAAGAATAGCATGTGCAAAATCATCGAGAGTGGTGTGGCTATTGCAATCGATAACAGCACAGGTTAAGCCAAAGACTTTGGATGCGACCTACTAAGCATTAGCAGCTTGCGAGGATATTGAAAGGGGGCATATTCACCAGCTGTAACTCTTGTACGAGATCACCTAGAGCGTCGGGATCTGTATCAATGATACAGTGCTCTTCTGCGACTAAACATATCAGTGCGGCGAGCTCCAAGTCGCTGAGCTCGTGGATTTTATTGATCAACTCCTCGTCTGCCATCAATCCATGAAGAGGATGGTTTCACCCAAATCCCATTTCTTAGGTGGAATATGTATAGGAGCAAATTGGATGCTTCACTGGTCGGATGTCATAATTCGGATCTACACTGAAGTCGATCGCATAACATTGAATGTTGTTGACGATCACTAGCGTCAAGCTTTGACCACAACTTAAACCTAGGAGCTCTTCATGATTAAACAAGCAACTCGAAGCAACAACAACAACCATCCCAACTATAATGAACAGTTAAGCAATATTGAAATGACGAGTCCAACTGCAGAATGGGAGAAGGTGGGGGATAAGTTCTATCGGAAGATACAATTATATACAGCTGTATTTGACCAGGACCTAGAGCTCGAAAACTACGTGGTCACGGGATGCTCATATGGAGGAGCAATCGGTGCGTTGCGTTATTCCTTTATGATATCAGAAATGGATTGTTTTTGCTAGAGTTGCTATACTGTTTACTCTCTCTAAACGGGTTCAGAATCTGGAAGGTGGCGGGTACTGCAGTCAATCTCATCAAGGGGCAGGTTAGATGATTGCGAGGCCTCATCTACTGAGTGGCATGTACCGGTCAGAACCTCTAGAGCTAGTGCTCCCAGTGGACACGTGAAAGTGCCGGACTCCTGAGTGTACGGACCTAAAAGCACATGTGTGCTCAATACTTTGATGTTCTCATTTGCTTACATGACACTTGATTCAGCCCTATACCGAGACGAAACAAAGCTCCAAACATTTCGAGGATCACAAGCATCTAAATCCAGTATTGATATATACAGTTGTGCTGGAAAGCTGATCAGAAGGATCAATTGGGACCAAGGTTCTATCAAAGGTCTCGGCTGGACCGAAGACGAAAAGCTTATTGTCGTCACCTCTGATGGCACAGTAAGATGTTACTATGACTTGCAAGGAGATTTTAATCAGTTTTCTCTGGGAAATGGTGCTGAGGAACTTGGTGTGATAGCTTGCAGGTTTGTGCTTTACATAACTTAGATTGACAGCGAGCTCACCAACGAAACAGATTCTACGGCACTGGGTTTGTGGCCTTGCTCGCAAATAATCATCTAATCTCGGTATCTAGATATGAAGAACCACGTCCAAAATTATTAGCAATTCCCCCTGAAGGCAATGTTCATTCGTGGACACTGATACCGCCGACATATACATTATCTAGATCAGTTGAAGTTCTTCTGAGCATTGACCAAACCATACACGTTGCAGACGCAGCTGAATCCGAAGATCGTTTTCTAGACATCGGACCCTTTACTCATATCAGTGTATCGCCAAATGGAAAATTTGTCGCCCTTTACACCGAAACAGGAAACGCATATGTCATCACGAGCGACTTCCAAAGCAGATTGAGTGAATATAACTCTAGATCGAAAACTCCTCCCAAAGACGTCCAATGGTGTGGCAATGACGCAGTAGTTATTGCTTGGGAGGACGAAGTACATCTTATTGGCCCCAAAAATGCTGCCGCAAAATTTTATTATGATGGTCGGGTTCATGTAATTGCTGGTTTGTAACCCCCTAGAGTTGGTTAGGACTCCAGCTAATCACTAAATAGATCATGATGGCGTTCGTTTGATAACCAATGATGTTTGTGATTTCTTGCAAAAAGTACCGGAAGTCACCGACGAAACCTTTCGGTTCGGTACCGAATCGCCAGCATCGATATTATTGGATGCAGTCGAGCAGTTGGAGCAGCAATCTCCAAAGGCAGATGATAACATACAGTTAATCAGACCTCACTTAGTAGAGGCAGTTGATACCTGTGTAAGTAATATTCTACAGAATTTCGGTTTCATAGCTGACCGCATTTAGGTCAAAGCAGCTGGTCAAGAATTCAACATCCATTGGCAGAAACAACTTCTCAAGGCCGCTTCATTTGGTAAATCGGTGCTTGATATCTACAACAGTGATGATTTTGTAGATATGACCGAAACACTTCGAGTATTAAATGCTGTCCGATATTACGAAATTGGCATACCTCTATCATACGAACAATTTCTACGCCTAACCCCTGAAAACCTTGTTAGACGTCTAATCAACCGTCGAGAATATCTCTTAGCACTCAAGATTTCCGATTATCTACGACTTCCAACTGATAGAATCTACGTGCACTGGGCTTCTCAGAAAGTCCGCATAGGATCCGAAGACGAAGACACAATCTGTCGCGTTATTGTCGAGAAACTTTCCGGAAAACGCGGCATTTCTTTTGAAGAAATCGCCCGAGCAGCCTACGACGAAGGACGGGGCCGTTTAGCCACCGCCCTCCTAAACTACGAACCTCGCGCCGGGAAACAAGTACCCCTTCTTCTCTCTATGGAAGAAGACGAAATCGCTCTCGACAAAGCTATCGAATCCGGAGACTCAGATCTAATAATCTACGTCCTCTTGCATCTCAAAAAGTCTCTCCCCCTTGCCTCCTTCTTCCGCGTAATAAACACTCGACCCATCGCTACCTCCCTCGTCGAATCCTCAGCACGAACAGAAGACTCATCTCTCCTGAAAGATCTCTACTACCAAGACGATCGTCGTGTGGATGGTGCTAACGTCTTTATCCGCGAAGCTCTACAACAACCCGATTCACGCACTGCATCCGACAAACTAGCACTTGCTGCAAAACTCCTCTCAGACTCCAAAGAAACATCTTTCGAGCTCAAAGCTCTCCACGAAGCTTCCCTACTTTTAAGAATGCAAGAATCCCTTGACCGCGACCTCACAGAATTATTTACAGGTCTCTCCTTAAACGAAACTCTCTTCAAATTAATAAAACTAGGCTACACTTCTCGTGCCAAAAAACTTACGACAGAATTCAAAATGCCGGAAAAAACATCCACGTGGATACGTCTCCGTGCTCTTGTCTCAAAAAGGGATTGGTCTGCTCTCGAAGAAATATCTAAAAATCGTAAATCTCCAATCGGCTGGTTG